ACTCGAGGCACGAGCATCAGCAGCGAACGAGGAAGAAACACGATCAGTGGACACCGTCCTGACCTGCGCAGCTCTCTGGAGAGCCTGAGTAACCGTAGATTTGTGAACCAGGGGCTCTACATAATACGTCTCAAAGGTGATTTCGCCCGATCGAGACTGTAAAATAGGACCCTCGGACCTTCTCTGGCAAAAATCAAGCTGGGGGTGTCCGAGGTGGCCTCTTTGGGCCAGGTCCAGCATTCGAACTGAGTTCTGAATCGAAATAAGACGCGCAGGCTGCCTTATCCTCGATGCAGGTGGCCTGGCCTCTGAAGTCCCCGCGCTGGTCGAGCTGCGTGCACGGGGTGTCGCACTTGCTCGTGGAGTTGGGTACTCTCCACCACCACAAAATCGAAATCTGCATCAGCTCAGACATCTGTGGGGAATCACTCACATCGTAAGAACTCAGTCGTTCAGGTGCTTCTGAGTCTCTTCTGGGGCCATTCCGAACTTCTGGAGAAGGCGCTCTGCGTCCCGCTCGAGGGCCCCCTTCGGGGCGGCTCCAGCTTTGATCTTGCCTTCTTCCTTCCTGATACATACCTGGAGGGCCGCATGCTCAGTCATCACCTGCTGACCGTCCAAAGTCACCACTTGGCTCTGAATAGATGGGCTCATCATGAACCGCAGCTTGAACGCATCTGCCTCCTTCTTGCCCGCCTTCTTGTCGAACCAGCATGCCCGAATCCGACAGTAGTGATCGTGTTCGGCCAAGACTCTCAGCGTCTCCGCCTTGTCCTCCTTGATCGCCTGCGACCAGTAGTGCGTGAGTACCGCCAGTGCTCGCGCCTCCGCTCCTTGAGCTGTGGCCGCCATGCTGTCCATGAAGTGCTGCGCCAGCACCATGAAGATGTGGGGCCATGGTGGCCCGTTGTCGTGCTGCTTCCCTTGTGCTTTGTAATCCGTCGCGTAGTCCTGGCCTGCGGCCTGCATGATCTTGATGAGAGGCGCCGTCGCGGGCACTAGAAAACAGGTGAAGGTAGCGCCCGTGAGTTCCGCGAGATCTCTTGCACTGGTGAGAGGAAGCCTGCACAGGACTGTGAGCAACGCCGCCATGATACCTCCCTCTTTGCTCTTGAGCTCCTGCCGGCGTGCCTGCTCCATCACCGTCTCCTCGATGCGGGCCCTCCATCCGTCTTCTTCTGCCTCTTGAGTCAGCCGACGTTTGCCGAGCGACCACGAGGGGTTGGACATGGCTGCCGCTGTCAAGCAGCAGCGGTAGGTGCTTGCAGTGAGTACCGAGATGATTGGAGAGCAGATGTGGATCAGCAATCTGAGCCTCACATAGCGGACAATCCAAAACCAAGGGAGTAGGGGTTCTGAACGTCGTATTGCGATTTAACCTACAGATCCACATTGAGACGAGTCAGCCACATGCTGATCTGTTGATTTCCTCGATCGGATACACTGTTGCACACGAACATTTGTTATTCACAACTGGTTTTCCAATAATATGTTTTAGGCCATGATGATTATGTAGATGAGCGAGTACCTGTCGTTTGCTCTGGAACCTTCTGGAGCAACCAGGGACCGTACACCCATGTTCTCCGTCGTCAGGTTGGGCCTCTGGGAGCTCTGGCACCTCAGGAGGTGGGGCCCGGTTGGGTGGAGGGATCTTGATGGACAGAAATGCCTTTCATATCATTGTTGTGTCCAAGAGCGAGAACCAATCGATCAGCTCTTGGCCCGAGAAAAGCCGAAGAGGCTGCCCATCAAACTGCTGCACCATACTATACTCCTGGTTCCCGAGCTATGCCAAGCAAGTACTGTCCTCCACAAATCTGCGAGCCCAGGGACAAGCTGGTTCACTGAGTCGGGCGTCCTCAACTCATTGGCGAGCTCCACCCGCATGCTGCCTAAGAGTGCCCCCCATTCTGCATCGTGTGCTTTGGGATTGCCCACCCACCTTTGATACCACCTTATCCTCCTAGCTTTCAGTTCGAGTTCAACGGGAGCCATCTGCCAAAAACGATCAATCTGCATGTTGGAAATGGATACCTTGTGCGCATCCTTCTCATAAGTAGCTCCTCCCCTCATCGCCGTCCTCTCGTAATGTAATACCCTCGTTTGTAGTTGATGGAACTGTACTGGTGTTCGTATAAACATTTCTACTCTAGATACAGCTGGCCCCAGGACTCTGGACAATACTACCGCTCCTTTTTCCACTGGAAGAATACCATATTGATACCAATATCTGATACCAATATCTGCCCATGCCGTGAAACCCTGCGTCATTATCTGAGAGCCGTGCTGGAAGCCCGCTGTTGAACGTGCAGTCAGAGCGTATCAAGTCACCTAGCATCTTGGCGTGGTCGCTGGGCACCCCAGCTGTGGGCAAGATCTGTTGCTTAAATCTCGTGCGGCCAATCTGGGATCCAGCACCGAACAGCGCGAGCGCAGTCTCATTCTTGGTGAGGTTGTGGAGGTAGTTGTGGGTCAGGAGTCGCTCAGAGAGGAGAGTGTTGTAGGAGTGAGACTTGAGACTGAGATCTGCATGGCTCTGTGTCGCGCCAGATGCCGAGACGAGTGTAGCCTCGAAGTTCTCAGCCAGGATGCAAGGCTGTACGCAAGAGTGACCCTTCGCCAGGTGCCGTTTGGTGCGCGGCTGGCTGGGGCATGTCGAAGCACGCAGGCCATCTCTGTCACATCGCTTGCAGCGGCCGGCAAGCCGCATACCAAGTCTTGTAGTAATGAGATAGAGAAGGGGACGCATACGCAAATATAAACATAGAGAGATAGGACACGAGAGAGAGGGATACAGAGAGAGAGAGAGAGAGAGAGAGAAACAAGCAACACTGTGCACGTCAGAGGTTCATTGATGAGATGATGAAACAAGCCGTTATAGTACATTTCCAGCGGCTTCTGTTGTGGAACAAGGATGACATTTTGGAGAAGAGCATTCTTATTTCAGGGTCCGAAAGGATTTCGAAAGAAGCCTGAAAGCAGCCGCAGAGTCAGGACAGGGACCAAAGGCGAGGGGCACGGGGGGAAAGCAACTGGGCAATCAATCTTCAAGCATGACAACTAACTTTGGCAGAAGGGTGAACCCGAGATGGTTGGATGAAAACTTGTGAGAGTGCAGATCATGGCATCTAGGATTGCACTTACGGGCCGATGCCCGGGAGCAGTCGTGCAATTTGCTGCTTCCCCAAGTGATGATTGCTTTTATGGGGTTCTTTTTGTTTTGCCAACGGATTGGGTGGGTCACCCAAGGATTTTTTGGGTGGCCACCCCGTGGCCGCCCCATGGCCGCCCTGTGGCCACCTGTGACCGCCCAACGTAGCTTGTCTCGCATATCTTGCACCAATCTATCGAAGACGCCTTCAGCATTTTGCTGATGGCAGTCCTCGGGCTGCAGTACTGGCTCTATTTGATCGTCACCGTCACTGCGCCATGGCAGCGTCCGCGGGTGCGCCCTACTCCGGCCTTGGCTGCTGCCGCGGTTCCCGCTGCCCTGTCTGGCCGCTCCAGCCCGCTCACCGCGGAACTCTTCCACGTCTGAGCGCCCTCCCCCTTCCCCCCCTCGCGAGGCCGCCCTCGTCTTCGCCTTTCTCTCTTGCACGCCGGACCATGTACCTATCGGTTGCCCCGATGAGCCCCTTTCTGGTGCGGATTGCTTCTGCCTCGCCGCCGACGGAAAAAGTGTTCGGCCTCGGGGACGCACCTTTCAAGCCGGACTTCTGCGTCCTCTCCCCAGAGGTCGCGTGCCGGATTGTAGACGCCTCCGGCCAGAGGTGCCAGCCCCCCGTCGCGCTCCCGTTCCCCCCACCCTGTTCGCCGAGGCCCGCGCGCGCACCGTGCCCCCCGCACGCGGGTGGGCACCTGCCGCGGAGCAGGCGACCGACTGCAGGAGGTGGGCGTCGCCCGTCGTGCGTGGGCCTGCGCGGAGATCTCTCGCGCTGTCCCTTCCCATTCTGACCGCGCGGCCCGTTATCGCTCGGGGGCGGACAGAACCCCCAATAGTGACACGTCGATTAGTGAATTGTCCGTTTTCGGTTTTCGAGAGGGCGCCGTGGCCGTTATTTTCCAGGCTTGCGCCCGCCAGGTTTGGGCCTCAGGTCGTTTTCACTAAACCACGTTTTACTAAAGGGAGGTCTGTCCATCCCCGAATCGCACCGGCCTCGCATCGCCTTGCAGGCGTGCCTGTAAATGCATGCGCCGCGCGGCCGTTCGCCAGCGCCGGGGGGCATTGCAGCGCGGGCGCGCCTGTAGACGCATGCGCCACGCAGTCGCCCACGACTCCCCTTTCCCCCCTCCCTCTTCTCCCTCGCCGAGGGTTCCCTGGTAGCGGACGTGCTTGGGAGGTGTGGTCGAGCGGGAGGCGTGCCGTTTTTCACCGAGCGCGTTCCACTACTCGCAAAGTGCCTACTCGCAAACGTCCGAAAAAACACATGTCTGCTTTGATGTAATTTATCGTAGATCCCCCGCGGGGGATCCAGGTCAGCTGCGAGTAGTTACTTTTTGCGAGTACTGGAACGCGCTCGTCTAGCTTTTCGGAGCCGAATTTCCTGAAATTTTCGTTGCGTCACGTAGCTTGGGGGTTTTCACCGTTTTCAGGGCTACGTTGCGCCAGCCCCCCGACGTCGTCGCATTGTAGCGCGGGCATTGCCCGCAAATGCAGGCGGCGGGTTCTGCTGAGCCGTGCCGCCGGTCCCAGGTTTCGGATGAGGGTTGGAGGTCTGAAGGCTTTTCTGAGGGCATTCGCCGAGCGGCCTCGCGTTCTCGCTCTCCTTTGCGCGACAATCGTTCTTCCATTAATTCGCATTGTGTTTTGAATTCGTCTGAGCGTCGCAGGTTGGGTGTTTTTTTCAATGATGGGAGGGTTGCACCCTCCCTGCCAGAGCTGAGGTGGAGCCAGGGCGAGCTTCTTCCACGTGACCTTGAGGCGCTCCACTGCCGGGACGTGCCCCTCACATTCTACCAGCAACATCAGCTTCGTCGTGCTCTTGGCGCGCTTCCTCCACATGCTGCACTTCTTCCGGGCCAGCTGGATCCTCCTGACCGCGGTCACGATCCGCCGCGTGCCGGCCAGTTCACGGGCAGCTACCGGGTGATCACTTGGAATGCGCAGGCTTTCTTCGCTTCCAACCGGGCCCGCGCGCTGGGGAAGCAGGCCTTCGCCGCCAAGCTCCTGCAGAGGGCGGACATCGTGCTGATCACGGAGGCGCACGGCACCGCTGGTACGCACGAGGTTTGGCAACCTCCCCCGGGCGTGTCGGCCTGGTGGTCAGCAGGCGCCACGACAGCACATGCAGGCGTCGGCATCCTGGTGAACAACAGCTTCCTGGCGCAGTTCGAGCCCAACCCCGCGATTGATGAAATCTGGCCAGGTCGGGCCTTGAGGCTGCGCCTGCAGGGGAAAAACGGCGCCCTCGACCTCTTTGTGGCGTATTTCCACACGGGCAACGTTGTCGGCGAGGCGGACTTGCACGGCGTATCTCCAGCATGGCGGGATCGATGCACTACCTTCCCTCAACTGCGGATGCATCTTCGCCATCGCGTTGCGCAGGCGGTTCGCCCGCAGAACGAGGCCTTCACCATCATCGGAGGGGATTTCAACTGGACCGTGCAGGAGCAGGACAGGCGTTCGAAAACTACCATGCACACATCAGGTCGAGGCGGGGCGGCGGAGGAGAAACACTTCCTGAGCTGCACGCGAGGCTTCGAGGAGCTATTCCAAGAGGAGATGACTCATGAGTGCGAGTCGGCTTTCTCGCGCATCGACCGCTTATATTCCAACCAGCACGCGGTGGAGACGATCGACCGGGAGTTCCGCGTGGCAGCGCTGGAGTGGCGACGGGATCTCTCCAATCATCGGCCTGTGTTCGCTTGCCGGCGGACGCCTGATAGGTCCGCTGCGGGCCTCAAGCCCCTCTCCGCCGACGCTTACCAGCACCCTGACTTTGTTCGACGAGTCAAGTTGGAGATGCAGGAGAGGCTGGCGGACGTCCCGAACATCTCGGCTTTGGGCTGTCTCCGCTTGCTGAAGACGGTGATGCGGGACGTCGCCTCGGGCCTTGCTCGGGAGTCCACGGGCTTCCAGGCGGCCACGGACGACGAGGACAAACTGGGGGTAGTGATGCGCTTTTTACGGGCGGCCGAACAAAGATGCCTCTCTGCCATATCTCGGTGCTTGATTCGATACCCTCGCATCTCAGAGTTCGTGTGCGATCCGTATGACTTTGATGCCAACCTCTCTTCCTCCCTGCTCCGACTTCGCGATCACGCTGTGGAGCTCGCGCGGGACATCGCGTTGACCAGAATGCAGGCGTCCCGCGACGACGACGGCGACGACTGGATGGAGAAGAACAGGAAGCGGAAGAAGGGCTCGCGGCTCCTTTTCCGGCTGAGTCCAGGCAGGGGCGGCGGCCTCGGCGCCATCGTCGACAGGCACGGCCGGGTGGTCACCGACTCGCGCGGCATGGCGAACATATTGCGGAGCCACTGGACGGCGACATTCGCAGCGACAGGCGTGGACGAGAACAAACTCGGCGACTGGCTTGCGGACGACGCGGCGGCCAGAGCTGCAAGTGGCCCGCCTCGTCTTGATTGGGGTGGCTTCCGGATTCGCCGGAAGGATATTTCGGCGGCCATCCGTCAGGCTAAAAATTGCTCTCCGGGACCCGACGGGATCCCCTACGGGGCCTGGCGTGCCCTGGGCAGCCTTGCCGTGGATACCCTGCACAACGCATTGCGTGATCTGGCATCACCGGATGGGCAGCGCATCCTGGAGCAGGATTTCCCGGACTTCAACGAGAGCTTGCTGTTCTTCCTCCCCAAATCCTCCAATGCTGCCGCCCCGGATGGCACCCCGGCGTACGAGGCGCAGAATGTCCGGCCCTTGAACGTCACGAATTGCGACAACCGTCTGATCGCCAGCGCTGTCCGGATCGCGCTGGAGCACAAGATCGCGCCTACGATCACGCAGGCCCAACGGGGGTTCTTACGAGGACGCTCCATGCTGGCCAACGTCGTGGACGTGGACGAGGCGATGGCGATGGCGGCCTTGAGCGGGGACACGGGCTTGGCCTTCTCCTTTGACCTGGCGGCCGCGTTCCCGTCGGTGGAGCACAGATTCTTCATGGTTTTCTTCGAGTCGCTGGGCTGGCCCGCTTGGCTCCTCAGAATCATCCGCAACCTATACCACCGTAACTTCTGTTGGATTTTCTTGGCTGGGGAACGCATGGAGGGATTTTCTTTGACACGGGGCATCCGGCAAGGTTGCCCTCTCTCACCCTTGCTATTCGCCATGGCAACGGACCTCATCCTCCGACGTTTGTCCAGGACCACACCGGGCGCGACCATCAGGGCTTGGGCGGACGACATGGCGCTAGCACTGCCCAACTTCCGCGACAGGCTCGGGGCCCTCCAGGAGTTTTTCCTTGAGCTGCAAAGGGTGGCTGGCCTGCGTCTCAACGTTCCCAAGACGGTCGCGGTGCCTCTGTGGCAGTTCGAGGAGGACGAGGTGCGGGCCATCCTGGTGAACGAGGCTCCCGAATGGGGCGGGGTCAAGATCTCCTCCTGCATGAAGTACTTGGGCTTCATGGTGGGTCCTGGCCGGAAAGACACTTCATGGTCCGCCCCTGTGGCCAAGTACATCGACCGGGCACGTCTTTGGGGCTCCCGGGGATTGGGACTTCTGCTCACCCTGCAGGCATACAGGGTGCTCATCTCATCCACCCTGCAGTTCGTGGCGCAGTTGGAAGAGCTACCAGGCGATTTCAAGGGGATGGAGGAGAGGGCGGCGCGCCTACTGCTGCCTGGCCCAGGGGGCTGGCTGTCTGCGGCCGCGGCCGAGGACTTGAAGGCGGTTCGCTTTCCGGACCAGCTGGTGGGCATGTCTGCTGCGGCCGTGGCCGCCGAAGCCCGGGTCCATCGTTTCGAGGCGGACTCCATGGGAGGTCTGCAAGTGGAGGACCGCATCCGTCGATTGGAGGAACCACCACTGGCTCACTGCTCCCTGGCCCGCAGCGCCTGGGTGTCGCAGCGGGTGCGCAACTCGTTTTTGCACATCTTGTCCCGGGCGGCTGCTCGCGCCAGCATGCTGCTGCAGCGCGCCGCCGGCGTGCGCTCGTGGATCAGCCTGCAGGCGGGATGGCAGGGCCAGATGACGAAATTGCTGGCTGTCGGCTGCAGGGGCGAGGCCATGCGGCACTTCCGCCGGAAGCTGGACAGGTGGCGGTTGGACGTCCTCCCCGGCCGACGAGTGGGCAGGGCGCTGAGGGTCTTGGACGTCCTTGCCCGCCGTTCCGCACCTCGGACTCAGGCCGCGTTCATCCGGACGGTGACCAATGGTTGGTGCACCCGGCATCGTTTTCAACAGCGAGGCCATTGCCCCTTCCGCTGCGGGGCCGAGCGGGACTCCATCGAGCACCTGGCGTGCTGCAGCGCGGTGCGCGCGCTCCTTTCCACCCACCTGCACGGCGGCAGCTTTCGGTCGCCGCAGACGCTCGACGATTTTCTTTGCCTTTCTTTGCATGCCTCCGAGGAGGAAGTTGTGTCGCGCGGAGTGGGGCTCTACGCCATCTACCGCTTATTTAATGCCCTCAGAAACAGTGGCCTGGCCCACAACGACTTGTGGGGGGCCTTCCGTCCATGCGCCCAGTTTGCGCTCTAGGCAGCTTTGGCTCCTGCGCGGGACAAGGTCCGGCCGCGTTTTGTGCTTATCTTTGCAGGGGCGTGGGGATAGCTTTCGGGCACGCGGTGGCCTTTCGTACCTTTCAGGTTTATATATATCGTTTTTGGGGTGTACCGGCCTATCCTCGATTTGATGCCGGCCCCCGATGTTGCCCCCTCCTCTCCTCGTCCTCTTCCTCCTCCTCCTCCCCCTCCTCCTCCTCCTCCTCCTCATCCCCCCCCCGAACGTGGTGACGTCAGCCCGGCCAGCCACTTTATGTCATTTACCTGTCCACTTTCGTGCATGCGGGAGGCGGGCAAGCCGGAACAACATAAGATTGACATCCACATTTTGGGTGTGCCGGCCTATCCGCGGCTTTAGGCGTGTAGACTGTTGGACGTCGTGCTCTTCCCTCACGGCCTGCGGGCTGATCCCATCCCTTGCTCTAATGCGTTCCATGAGAAAAAAATGCAGGCGGCGGGTGGAGGGCCAGCGCCGTCGGGTGGCAGCTGCCGGCCGCGTCCGCACCCTCGGCGTCTCACGCCTCCGCCGCATCGTAGCGCGGGCAGCGCCTGCAAGTTCAATGCGGCGCGCGGTAGCCCGCAGGGGAGGGCGGCAGCAGGTCGCCCGTTTCCAGGATTGCGTCGCGCTGCCGGAGGTCGTGCTGTAGCGCTATAGCACGGGCGGTGCCTGTCAGTGCAGTCGAGGGGCGTTGGGCTGGTGCCGTCGACCCCTGGCCGCTCCTTTGCCAGTCCCGCCCAGCGTCGCATCGTGCCGTAGGCGCCGCTTGTAGTTGCGCGCTTGCGTTCGCCGGACGCGGCTAACATGCTGCGGACGTGCCGATCGAACATGCTTGCCAGCTGAGGCGGCCATTCATCTGTTCGTCTGCCTGCGCTTGCGCCAGCTGTCTGTCCACGGCACCTCGCTGCGCGGAAGCAGGAACGGCCTTCCGATGCCGGCGCAGAAAATATGCCACCCAGTCACGCTGCGTCGATTCAGGGCCGCAGATTTGGCCTGCTCTGTTGTCGCCCTCCTGCGTTGCAACTATCTCGGGGCCTCCGGGGTTCGCATTTCAGTAGGCTTTTTGGCTCAGGATAGCCGGCGCCTCTTAGGCGGATTGAAGCGAGACCGCATCGCGTATATTCGCCAGGATGGTGGGCAAGATGCAGGCCCTGGCGCGAATATCTTGGAGGTCGCGGACTCCCTCGTCCAGCCGCCGCGCCCTCTGGCAGGCAGTGGGCCTGCAGGACTTGCCCGAAGGCGGACGCGGTCGCCGCCGAGGAGTTCCAGGGCGCCGCCAGGAATGCTATCTGGCCAGGGTGTTGGCACTTCGACAATGCCCAAGGCGAGCCCAGGCGCCGACAACTCTGCGCGTTCAGCTTGGAGCGCAGTCGCCTCCAGGTGCCGACCCGGTGGGTCCAGCGGCTCGGCATCTCGCTGGCGATCGCGCCGCTGCCCCTTGGCTCGCGGGATGCCGCCCTGGGGGTCGCAACCTGGCGATCGGGGCGGTTGCCGCGGCGGAGACCCGGCAGCAGGCAGTGTGTAGATGACGTTTATGTCAGCTCTACCATCACCAACCGTGACACCCTTGGAAAACGAGGGAGGACTTTCACAGGGAGTGGTTTTGTCATTGTCCTGGAGGGCTGGACGCCCACCACCTATCTTCCCTACTCACGTCCTCACAGTCCATCGAGACCGTCGCGGCCATGATGAAGGAGGGAGGCCGCCGCTCTTTCGACCAGTACATCACCCGTGCCGAAGCCAGACACATGGAGATGGGGTTCGCATGGACTGACTCACGGGGCAAGTGCTGTAAGCTCGCCGGTCGAGCGGCCAACCGCGGATTTGGACCTGCTCGTCAGGCTGCTGCATTCCCGCTCTTGGCCGCCATGGCTCTGGAACTGGGTGGAGCCGCGCTTGCCCGGGGAGGCCCATTGGCCCTCTGGCGGGTGGAGACGGGGTTGCTTTTCTGTTGCAAGGAAGTCGAGATACCGTTAGCTTTGAAACAGCAGGTCGCAGTTGGTAGTGATGCTATTTCTGTCACTTGGCTCCTCCGAAGCACAACGCACGGCCCGAGAGCATTGGGAAGTCTCGAAATTGGCCTTGCGTTTGCCAGCGCCCTCGACCACCGACGAGGTGTGCCCTGCGCGTGCTGTGCCATCCCCCAGCAGCTGGTTGTCCTTGACGGCAAGGGCTGGGCCGACCCCGCAACGCCGTTATTCCCACAGAGGCGAGCGGCACGGCTAGCAGGAAGGTCATGGACAAGAGCTTCGAAGCGATCGCTGCCAAGCTGGGCCTCCGCGTTGCGCACCAGGGTGGTCATTCCCTGCGCGCCAAAGGGGCGCAGTGGTTGGCGTCGCAGGCAGTCTGTATAGCAGTCGTTCAGCTTCTGGCCCAGTGGAAATCTGACGTGGTCTGCAGGTACGTGTCGGAGGCTCCTCTACTCACGCTCGCGGGTGAGCGCTGTCGTGCCTGTGTTGCGCGCTTGGCCCACGAGCGCTCGGCTACCTCGCAGCGTGCCATCGGACAGCTTGGACAGCAGCTGGAAGCGCGCGGTGAAGCAAAGGGTTTCGCACTTGAGCATCCAGGAACAGGATGCCATCGCTTTTTATCAAGCAATGCCAGGACACGAGAGCTCGGCAAGGCCCTGTCTACGTCCTTTCGGAGTCAAACGTGCACCACATCCCCCGCATTTGCCGGTTCATCGGCCTGCCAGTCTTTCAACGGAAGGCTCGTTGCGGTTGGAATTTCGGCTTGTCTGGTTTCTCTTACGCGGAGTCTGCACCTGTTGGGCTGAGGTGCAAAAGATGTATGCCTATTGCTTCGAGGTAGTACCTGGCTCGCACCAGTGCCTATCCAGGCGAATCCGGATCTCTGGCTGGCAGTCTTCCGACACTGCCCGCTCCTGTTCCCGCCTCCCGCGTCTCCACCCGCATATGCAGTTCGGCCAAAAGCAGAACCTCATGATACAACTTGTCGTTAGACCTTGGTCAAAAAATGGAATTCGACGTGGGGGCACCAAGGCGGGGACGCCAGCAGGTAGAGGAAGGACACCACGAGATGTTGCACTGGCGCGCGCTCTATGAGACAAAAGGGAAGGCGACGGGGGCAACGGTAGGCCTTCGCAAACAGTTGCAGATTTTCCAACCGAAGTAGCGCGGTGGTTGGCGGGAATGTGGAGTTGAGTCCCGCACCTGGGGAATGCGCAGTTCGGACCCCGGGTCTTTCGGAAGAGTCCATCGTTTAATCATTTTGGCTCGAGGAGCGGCTGCAACGTGAAAGTTCACCCCCACCCACCTACCTTCCCACCAGCCAACTGGGCTCATTCGGATTTATTGCTGGCCGTCTCACGACGCTGCCTGCTCCTCCTTCTGCTTCCCCTCTCCGTCTCCGCCCACATATGCCGTTCGGTCAAGAGCCAGAACTGCACAATACAACTGGTACTTCGACCTTGGTTGAAACATGCCATTCGGTGTGGATGCAGCAAGGCGGGTATGCCAGCAGGCGGAGGACGGAAAAATACGATATGTTGCACTGGCACGCGCTCGATGAGAAAAAGAGGGAAGGGCGGCCAGGCAACGACGGCAGGACCAGAGCTTGCCTCTAGGGGTCCTAGCGGATTCATATGGTTAGGTGAGGTGGGTCGCCGATTTCGGAGGCCAGCTTGGGTGCCCAGGTGCACGGGTGCCCGGGGGTGCCCGGGTGCCCGGGGGGGCCCGGAGGTGCCTGGGGGGGCCCGAAGATACCCAGGGGTGCCCGGGTGCCCGGGTTCCCAGGTGCTCTATCGCCCTATGGCCCTATGGTGCTATAGGCTATAGCCCTATAGGCCTATAGCCATGTATCCTTACCTATACGACCACCGTTCGGTTGATAAGGAGGGTCTGGAGGGGGGAGAGTGGGGGGAACCAACATCTGACTCAATCGATCTCAGATCTAACTCAACGGGACACCACGGGACACCACGGGACACTTGTCGATTTCATTATCGATCTCACTATCGATCTCACTCAAGGGGACACCACGGGACACCACGGGCCACCATGGGACACCACGGAACACCGCAGGACACCTCTCGATCTCCTCATCGCGGACTCACTATCGATCTCAGTATTGATTTCACTCAGCGGGACACCATAGGACACCATAGAACACCACGGAACACCACGGGACATCACATCGATCTCACAATCGATTTCACTATCGATCTCACTCAACGGGACACCATGGGACACCACGGGACACCTGTCGATCTCACTATCGATCTCACTTTTTGGGACACCACGGGACACCTCGGGGCACCACATCGATTTCAGTATCGATCTCACAATCGATCTCAATATCGATATCATTTAACGGGACACCACGGCACACCACGGGACACCGCGGGACACCGCGAGCCACCGCCAGACGGGCGGGCGGGGGAGAATCATTTGTCTTGACTTCGCCCTAGCAACGGCGAGCACCACGGGACACCACGGGACACCGCGGGACACCGCGGGCCACCGCCGGACGGGCGGGCGGGGGAGAATCATTTGTCTTGCTTTCTCCCTAGCAACGGCGGGTTCATTCCTCTCGCGCGCCCATGCAGCTTCGCCTCGCCCGCACGCACGACACGAACGAAACGAAACGATTTCCCGGTTGGGGGTCTCCGTTCCATTGCGAATTCACCCCCCAACCTCCGATAGCCCGATAGCTCTATAGCCCTACAGCTCGACAGCACTATAGCCCTATAGCTTTTTAGCCCTAGCCCTAGCCCTATAGTTCTATAGCCCTACAGCCCAATGACCCTATAGCCCCATAGCCCATACAGCCCTATAGCCCTATAGTACTATAGCCCTACAGCCCTATAGCCCTATAGCCCTAAAGCTTAAGAGCCTTATAGCCCTATATTCCTATAGCCCTATAGCCCTGTAGCCCTAACAACATTTCCGACTGCTATTTTTTCTCCGGTATCATTCATATTAGCCGTACTACTGCATGTCATGGTTTATGCTATGTCCAGTCGTAATGCAGCTGGTAATGCGAACATGAAGAAAGGTGTCCTGAAGGACAAATGTCCCAGAGGTTTTTTTCCGCCGCCTTCGGGTGCAGGAAGGACCTTCCCATGGACGATGCATGCCAGTCAGTAGACGACTCGTGGTGAGAATCGTTTTTCCTGGGGGAATCCCAATCCCTCCAGAGTCGTCCGTGTCCGATGCCCGCACGTGGATCGGGTTCGGCACGACTACTACAACTACTACTTCTACTGGTAGTACTACTACCAGTAGAAGTAGTAATTGTAGCAGTCGTAGTAGTAGCAGTAGTAGGAGGAGGAGGAGAAGGAGGAGGAGGAGGAGGAGGAGGAAGAGGAGGAGGAGGAGGAAGATAAGGCAGGTGAATCGATCCTGGGGGGGCCACGTGCGACAACCAGTGGCCGAACAAGTATCGGTGCCGAGAGCGATTTCTGGGAAGCCCCGGGGGGGCCCAGGACCCGCGTTTCTCAGGGGCAGGCGCTCGGGGGGGGGGGGGGGGGGGGGGGGGCGGGGGGGGCGGCAGGCTCTCGGCGATGCATCACCGAGTCCAGGTCGATGTTCCCCCCTCGGAGCCTCTTCCCCCCCTCTGTCGTTCTCCCCCTCGCGACCCCTCCTCCCTCGTGCCAGCAGGCGGCGGCGGGGGCGTGCGAGACGAAGCAGGGCCGCGAGCTCGAGGGGCTCTTGCGGAATGAGGCGGCGCCCTTGCGGGAGTTCGACGACCGCCTCGCCGCGGCTTGCGAAGCGCTGCGCACTGGGCCCACCGCGGCCGAGGGCGGTCAGGGCACTCAGAATCCAGGGCTGTGCAAAAACCAGCACCCTGAAAAGTCCAAGCGTGGTGCAGGTGTTCGCTCCCCCGTCCGCGTGCACGGCATTCGTCGAGCTCAGGACTACGGAGTGATATCAGCATGGGACGGACCGTCGGCCTGATAAAGCAACGCTTGAGTGCACGAGGAGCTCTCACGGACTTCGGACGTTCCAGCTGAAGGGAGCGAGGAATGGAGAGTGCCTCGACCCACGGCTGCAGCATGTCTCGGGCGCGCCAGTGCCCCTTTTTGCGGAGCCCCGAGGCGGGGGCGGGGGGAGCATGGAGGGGCTGCTGGCGGCCGAGCTCCAGGAACGGTTCCGCGCCGACTTGCTGTACCTGTCCGCCCTCCGCTCCTATGTCAGCGAGGGTGTCCCGGAGCTGCCCCGCCTGGGCGGGGAGTGCGGGCGCACGTGGGTCATCTCCACGCCCGGGCTCCTGTCCGCGTCCACCGATCTGGGGGCGTGCCCGCGAGCTCCTCGCGGAGCGCTGGACGCGGGCTCCCTCCTGCCCTCGCTGAGCGCTCGTCGAGATCCGCGATATGTTGTCTACACCTTAGGCGATGATTAAGAAAACTTGCATTTTCGGCCAGAGTCTCGATTATTTTTAATGTTTCAATGTAAATCCTAAGGTTTCAATAGACATGTTTGATTTTTATTCAAGTTCTGAGACTATGAAATTCTTAACCCATGATTTCTTAAGCATTTCGCAGGGTGTACATTTCACGCGGGGTCCCCAGGAAGTTCTGACCTTGTCCCCAGGTCCGGCGTCTCAGCCGGAGTCTGTTTGGGCGCTCCTCGGGAGCCAGCGAGACCCCGGGCCGACAAAGGCGGAACATCTGCGCCCCGATGTTATTATGTGCGGGGTGAATGGCAGGAGCGAGTGTTGCAGGCTCGGTCCCAGGGGACACACCTTCAGAGCGGTGGACACGGACGACTCCGCGGCGTGGGCTGTCTGCCCGGGCGCCGAGCTCTGGGCGCAGCAGGCGGGCGAGCGGGCCAAGGTGGTCCAGCTGCGCTCGCGCGCCGGCGAGCGGCGGGCGGCGCGGCGGGTGTCGCTCGGGGGCAGGTGGCCGGGCCTCCCCACCCGGGGTCCGAGCAGAGCTCGGAGTGCCGCGCCGCATCGCCGACGCGTCGGCGGTGCGGATCGACGTGAGGGGCCCGATCCTCTCCACGCCGACGGCGCCGACGTGCGTCGCCGACGTGCGCATCGATGGATCGGCGGTGCCGTGGGCGATGAGCGGCGCGGTCCTCCGGCCCCGCCCGCTCCGACGCCACGTTTTGGGGAGGCCTATCCGAGGTCGGAGCTCGGCGGCCTGCTCGACGCCTACCTGGCCAGGGAGCAGGACGCCGCGCTCGGGCGGCAGCACGCCGAAGGTCAGGAGGGAAAAAACACACAGACACAATTAATCCTCGATTCCCAGGAAAATATGGGAAAATATGGGAATTGGGGGGGAAGACAAAAACCCAGGACGTACATGTACATGAATCCACGCTGGTCTCGAGAGTTCGCGTTGAGCGAATGTTCGTATCGCGCGGCAGGTCTCGGGGGCCAAGGGGCCGTGTTCATGTACATAGCTGGGCGCGTACGTCCTTTGTGGACTCCCTAGAAGGGGGCGCCTTCGCCGGCCTCCTCGAGCAGTTCAAGGCGGTGGCGAAGCAGGCGATGGTCGACGTGGGCGGCGCCGGTGGCCTCCCGGACAGGAACAGGACGGCGGAGGAGGCGCCCGTGCCGATAGTCACTGGCCTGGAGGGCAGTGCCCGTCCCAGCGACGAGGCCCTGCAGCACTTCGCGCTGTTCAGCAACATCATGGAGAACACGCGGATGGCGCAGGCGGACGTGTACTTCGGGCACGTGCTCTTCGGGCTGCTCCTCCAGCGGCTCGGGCGCCGCTTTGCGCTCCTGAAGGGCGCCGGCATGCTGGAGCCCGCGTCGGACGCGGCGCGCATGCGCGCGCAGCTGGAGCGCTCCGTGGCGGACACGCCGGACGCCGCGGCCGCGGCGCAGTTCGAGAGCTTCGTCGCAGGCCTGGCTGCCGAGCCCGGGGCCGTGGAGAGCCTGCGCCGGGCGCTTGAGCTGTCCCCGGCCACGCTGGCGGCGGCGCGCCGCCACACGAGCTTCGTCTTCGGACGCGGCCTGCGGGAGGAGATCCGCTGGCCGACGCCACGCCGCCGAACCCTTCGCTGTAGGTGACCTGTAGCCGGGGTGCGCTGTAATGCACTGTATCAGGCACCCGAGTGGTTCAGGCACCACCCACCGGTTACCCATCCTTTCGACCCGGCTTGACCGGCTTCCCATGGAAGGGGTTCGCCGTGAAGGGCGGTCTTGAGTGAAACGGGTTTCAGACCCCCAGACACCGGGGCTTCCCTAAGGATTCACTTTTCATCTTGAGCCGTTTTCTAACCGTTGTGTGGGCTGTGGAGGGCCTTAAGGGCACCGAAAACGGTGATAAAACCTTCAGGGCCCTTCATTTCCTCCAAGACGCATTTCTTTTCTGCTAAGGCGTTCGGGCAAGGGCATGGATCTCGCGCGCCGAGTGGCCCCCGTGGGGTCGGCGAATCTTCAGGCCCCTTGCGCGCGCCTCGCGGGCCAGCGGGGGCGCCGGCGAGGGGGGCGCGAAGGTCCCGGATCGACGACACTTACTAGTGACCATTCGCTGGAGCGACCTTTGTCGCGGGTCTTTGGGGGTTGCCTGATTGCCCGCTGCCATGCGATAGCAGCGGCATGCGCGCTTGGGCTTGCTCCCCCGAGCACCCCCTACAACTGCGCACGACGGGTCACCATGCCTAGGGTCACTCTTGCTTGTAATTAACCAACGGGGGGATCACATCACCCACATACTTATACATCATTATACATACATGCATGTGTGCATGTGTATCTACCCAAGCCATTGCACTGTGGATGTGTGATGTGTTTGCTATATACTGCAAGCTACCAGCCCATGTGGTGTTTCGATGTAGTCTAAGCTGTGTTGTGTAAGGTATGCCATGTATGCTATATGGTGTGAGGTTCGTGGTGGACGCTATATAGTAAAATTGTTGACGCTTCGCGTATCCCCACCAGCCCATCCAGAAACGATGCTCAGGGGAGTTGAGGTGATCAGGGAAGTCGGGGAGCATGCAGAATAACAAAGGGCGGGGGAAGCTGTCACAGACCCCGAGAGGGGGAGGATGGAAGAGGAGTCGTCGTCGTCGTCGTCGTCGTCGAGGAGGAGGAGGAGGGGGAAGAGGAGGAGGAGGAGGAGGAGGAGGAGGACGGAGAAGGAGGAAGAATCGGAGGAGGAGGAGGAGGAGGGGAAGGAGCTTCTTGGGGGTCTTTTGAGGGCCTCTTGGAGGGCTTTTTGGGCGCCTTGGGGCATCTTGGGCGCCTCTTGGGACCCTCTTGAGGCGCTCTGGGGAGCCTTCGGGGCGCTTTTGGGGCCATCTTGGAGGGAGTCGATCAAACAAGAGGGGGGGTTTAATTAGCGTCCCCCCTCGGAAGCCCCTAAAATCGCCTCTTGGACCCCTCTTGGAACGCTCTTGGAGTGCTCTTGGGCGCTCTTGGGGCCGTCTTGGGGCTCTTTTGGGGCTCTCTTGGGGCCCTCTTGGGCCATCTTGGAGCCATCTCCAGGCCTCGGATGGCCATCGGAAGCGAAAAGGCGAGAAAGCAAAAATCATTGATTTTCCTTAGGTTTTGGGACGATTTTGGCCTCTTCGGGGCCTCCTTGGGGAGCTGTTTGGCCACTTGGAGTTATCTTGGGGCCGTCTTTGGGCTTCTTGGAACCATCTTAGGAGCCATCGTGAGCGATCTTGCGCTATCTTGAGCCATCTTGGAGCTCATCTTGGGTTCTCTGAGGCGCTCTTGGAGCCGTCTTGGGCCATCTTGGACGCTCTAACTACCCGCGGCCCCCCCCGTCCAGGTCCAGGGGAGGGGGTAGGGGGAGGGGTAAACCCCTCCCCAAGGGGGAAGAGGGAGGGGTGGAAGAGGATCTGCTCTAGACCACCTACGCCCAGAGGGCTGGTGGGATTATGTGGTGCCGGCGATCTATGTGGTGCAGTTGTCTCATGTCCACAAATGAGTTGTCAACTCTACTGCTCCCGCAAGCATCCCGCCCTCCAACCCGGAACTCCTTTTGCATACCCATGCGGCCGCGATTGCGGTGAGTCTTGGGCGCTGGTTGGCACATCTTTGCGGCTGCGCTAGCGCGCGCAAGCTTGCGCGCAGAGCGGCCAGCTGTTTTGGCACAACCGATGCGGCCGCGATGGTGCTTACCGATGGCAACTTCCCAGCGCGTCTCAAAGCCCGTGTTGGCGCACTGGCGCTTGAATGCGGGTCGGTGACCTGGGTGGGCGCGGTATCATGATGACGACGGCAACGACGGCAACGATGATGATAGTAGCGATGGCGGCGGCGATTATTACGATGACGACAGCATGGCCAATGACGGCGCCGATGCTGGTGACGACGATGACGATGATGTCCATGCGTCGGTGTCGAAGGTGCTTGACTGATGATCTCGTCAATGACGGTCCTTGTCGATGTCAATGACGTGATGCGGCCGCGCTGATGAGGGTTATGGTGAAGAAGCGAGCGTGTGCGGAGCATGTAAGACTCCTGGCAGCTCGTTGCTGAAACACTTGTTTTAATATGTGCCTGGAGAGCTCTATCTTGACGCGTCGGAACCCAATGGTTTTGGACGGGATTCGGCACGCGCTCGTGTCAGCGCGCGCGTGTGGCCCGCATGTTCGTAGTTGGTGCGGATTCGTGCTTTGTTTGCATGTTGGATCAACGCGGATGCTCCGCGTTGTGAGATGAGAATGCGGGCGTTTGGCGAGCGAACTAAATTCTAGCCGCTCCGCGCAACCCACCCGCTCATCCACACGGGTTGTCCTGATGTGGAGGAGCTTGCAATGGAACTCGCCGGCCCAACGGGCCAGAGGCGTGCTAAGATCCCCGGTAACAGGTCAACAGTATTTCTAGTTCGCGCGCGCGTGGCGGCCCCTGGGGACCCCCGGACGAAAAGTACCCCGGCCAGTCCGACTCAGAGACGGTTGTTCCTTTTGGGCGCGGCTTTCAGGCGCCCCAGATCGCTCCTAGAGGGCCCCAAGAGTCCCCAACGCGGTCCAAGAGGGCGCCCCGAGTCGCAGCAGGGGGTTCGAAGAGGAAACTCTCTAATCCACTCACGCCCTCAAGGGCTGCTGGGATTCATATGGTTACCCGGCGATTTAAGTAAATGTGCGCGGGCAGATCATCTACAATCCTTGTAAATTAGAACCCATGAGCTGGTCTTGGTTTTTGTTACGGAAGTGCTTGCTGCTTGCGTCACTCATGTGTTTGACCTGGCTTCGGCGTGCGTGCGTCTGAATGTTGCGATGCTTTTTTTGCGATCAACGAGTGCGCGCGCATACTATTATGTCACAAGGGCGAGGGGGTTTGTCGGTACCGATTTGCCTGGGATGGTATGGCTTCATGCGGAACGTGAAAGACGAGGCAGACACATGCAATCGATCGTGTCCCAAGGGGTATGGTTAAGTCTGGGCTCGGGAGGGGGTGTAAACACTTGTTGTGTTTGAGAAGGGAACCTTTGTGGTGCACGCTGTATGGCGCAAGCTACGTAGTGCAGTCTGCGCAGCCGCCGAGCGCACGAGGCGGCCGCAGCGCCCCGTGTGGCAGCACGATGACCCCACACCATGCCAGGGACCCGGGTGGCCCTGGTCAGGCGTGGCGGTGCCACAATGCGCCTCTTGCGCAGATGCCACCCCCGAGCGAACCGCGCGACGGCGGGACCCGCTCCAGCTCTCCGGGAGGTGGAGCACTGCAGCCCGTTCCTGCTCGAGGCGGCCAGCTGCGGGGAGCTGCGCATGCTGTCCGTCGGGACGGAGGCCCGCGAGCGGCTGACCTGGGACGGCGTGCTGCTCGGGGCCCTGCTGCACCAGGCGGAGGCGAGCGTTGACGCCGAAGCCGCGGACCGTTGAGTGCGTCGCCGCGGCCAGCAAAGCAGAAACGCCCCTCCTCCCTCCCCCTCCTCTCCCTCCCCCTCCCCCTCCTCCCCCCCCCCCCTCCGTAACCATTTTGGCTCAAACTTCTGCCCGAGGGCCTGGGGGCGGGCAGGCCGCCGCGGGCCCCCATTCGGGCGGGGACCATCGCGCTGCCTTCGGAGGCGGCGTGGCATCGGCGCCTCTGCCGCGAGCGCGCCGCGGCCAGGGCGCTACTGCACGCGTGGCGGGGCACGCCTTCCCCCCGCCAGCGCGGACGCCTGGAGGCCGCAGCGGCGCTCCTGGACGACCACCACGGCTCGGCGCGCCGTCCCCCGCGCTCCAGGCGGGCGACGACGGCGGCGGCATGGCGGCCGCGGGTCCAGCGGCCGCGCCCCTGCGTGCGCGCATTGCGGGTGCCGCAAGAATGAGTCGTGGTGGACGTGGTGCTGCCATTGCAGGCGCCCGTTGCAGCTGGTGCCTGCGGGGGCTGCTGCTGCTCGCGGCGCTGCTGGCCGCCGGCGATCTTTCAGCAGGGACCGCGGCGGCGCCCGCGAGCCGCCCTGGCGCCAGGGCACCGACGGCGTGCGCGGCGGCGCGGCGTGCGCGGCGGCGCGCAGCGCGGACGGCCCGCCGCTCTGGTCGCGGAGGCGGGCGGCCGCCAGCGCAACAGCAGCCTGGGGGTCCGCATCGTGGACGTTGCCCAGGCTCTGGAACCCGACGCGGATCCCGAGGAGGCCAAGCTGGCTCAGCTCGTGGAGCTCCTCCGCCTGTCGGGTGACGAGCCAGCGGAGGCCAAGTATAGGCAGCAGTTGGGCGCCCTCCGCGCCCAGCGCCTGGCCAGGCTTCTCTCCGTGGCCGAGGCGGGCGTGGCCAGGGACGCTGCCGCGGCGGCCTTGGGCGACGCCATGGCAGAGGCGGAAGAGCTCCAGCTGCGCCTGGGACAGGCCGTGGGGCGCGTGGCCAAGTGCACTGCCGCCCTGGACAGTGCGCAGGCGGTGTACACCAGCGCCGCGCGGGCCCTGCCGGGCACGGCGGCCCCAGCAGCGGCGCCTGGACGCGAGGACATCGTGCCCGAGCTCAGCGTCACGGCGACCCTCGCTGGCAAGGCCGCTTGGGCGCTGGATGATGAGGGGCTCTTCGGCCTGGAGTCCCCGGAGGACTGCGAGGTCGAGGAGAACGACCGCCTGGGGGCCCAGCGGCGCCGCGAGGAGCTGCATACGCAGTTCGCGGCCATGGCTCAGGAGGCGCTCGACCAGTTCAAGGCCGAGGCGGAGACGCTGGAGAAGGCGCACCGCGAGCTGCGAGAGCGCCTCAAGTCCAAAAAGAGGCGCACCACGGCCATACCGCAGCAGGAGGCGGCACCTGCAGCGAGGCAGCCAGCAGCTGAGGGAGCTGCAGCGCCTGAGGCAGCGGCTGCGGCCCCCGTTGCCGCGCCTCCTGCCGCCGCAGCTGCCGCTGGCGGCCAGCGGGAGGCCCCTGCCCAGGCCTCGCAGGCGGCTGCGCCTGCTGCCCTTGCCGCTTCCGCGGGGGGCCACAGGCGCGGGGGCTGCGGCGGCGGATGTGCTGGAGGCGGGCCGCCAGCGCCTGGCTGCCGCCGCGGCCAGCAAGGCTGCAGCTGGCAAGGGGCGCGCACCCAAGGGCGGCCGCGGCGGCGCGGCCAGGGACGGCGGCGGCCCCAATAAGGCTGCGTCGGTCCCCGTGTGCGGCGACCAGGACCAATCGAACCTTTGACACGGGCTCAACTACGGCGGGGCAAGGCTCCGACGGTTTTGAGGCGGCCTTCGGTTGCGGCGCCCAGCGGCGCAGGCGCATTCGGCGGGGGCGCCTGCGTGGGCGGGGCGCAGTGCACGATCGTGGTCGCATCCTGCGGGTTCTGGACTACATGTACTCGGCTGGGGAGTACAAGTTCAAGGATGCCGACCTCGCGTGCGGCGCTGGCCCCGGCTGCGTGTCGGACGCCCTCGACCGCTGGCGCGGGCCCACCTGGCGCTGCGGGGGCAGCGACTATTACGGCGACTGCTACGACGACGGCGACGTCTCCAGCTTCGGCGGCACCACCTGCGGACCTGCCCGCCCCCAGCTCGCGAGATGGGCTGCAGCCGGTGGTCTGGCCCATCCTCTCGGGGCTTGCCCCCCCCCGCGGAGCCGCCCCCAATCTCGTCAGCGGAGGTGGCCAACGAAGCGGGCGCGGGCCGTGCACTTCGACCTCAGGGGCGACGCGTGGCACGACGGCCAGTTCTGCTCCACGTCGGGCGCCGCCAGGACTGGCCCCTTTCGCTCGCGGCCTTCCTCGGCCTGAGGCTCGGGGAGCACATGGCGCTGGTGGCGACCGAGCCGAGGGCCGATCTGCGAGGGGCGGGGGCCGCAGCGGGCGCTCCGCAAGGAACTCGCGAAGCCCCCGCCCCAGAGCGGCGCTCTCCGAGGCGAGGTCGTCGCGCCGCGCGACGGGCTTGCCCTTCCGCCTCGCGATCCTCGTCGGCCAGAGGTTCGCGATGCACGGGGCGCTGCGCGCTGGGGAGGCGCTGGCGGCGCAGCAGGGGAGCTGCCCAGCTGCGCGCGGGCCCCCAGCTACGGTGTGCAAGACCATTGCGACGGGCACGGGTCAAGGGGATCGCCTCCTGGTGCGACATGGCGTCCCGCGGCGAGGCCCGCTCGTCGTCGGCCTCACCGTGGATTGGTTCCTCCACCCCGCGCTGCCCCCCAACCAGAGGCGCGCGGTGCCCCTGGCGCTGTTGGCGAGCTCGGCGCTGGCGCTGGCTGGTTGGCTGGGGCGCGGCCCCGCGGCTCGCGGGCCTCCCGCCGCGGCGAGCGCGCCGACTGTGACGGCGACGCGCCAGATGTGCTTTCGGGCGCGCCGCGGAGCTCCTCGACGAGGTCGGCTTGCCGTCGGCCCCGCCCCGGGCCTGGGTCCTCCGCCAGAGGCTCGCGCCCCCCTTCGGCCAGAGGCTCGCGTTGCGCATGGCGCTGCGTGCGGGGGCTGCGCTGGCAGCGCGGCGGGGGGGCGGCCCTGCGGCGCGCGGGCCCGCCGCCGCGACGTGCGCGGCGACTTTGAAGGGCGCGGGCCAAGTGAATCACCCCCTGGGGCGTCGTGGAGCTCTTCGGCGACGTCTGCTCGGCGTCAGCGCCCCCTGGGCTGTTTCCTCCATCTCGCGCCGCTCCCGGCGCAGGCGGTTGGCGCGGCGCAGGCCATGGCTGGGAGGCTGGGGCGCGGCCCTGCGGCGCGCGGGCCTCTGTCAGGGGGCGCTCGGGCTGGGCGGCCACGGCGCCGGCTGCGCGGCCGCTTCGGATGCTGGGGCCGGGGCGCAGCCCTGCGGCGCGCGGGCCCCCCGGGGTGCCCGAGGGCCCCGCCCGAGGCGCGCCGAGCGGCGCCATGGCGCCAGCATGGAGGTCATGGCCGCGAACGTGAAACACCAGTCCTCTTGCGCCACGCAGCTGGAGGAGGACAACGTCGACAGCTCCGCCCAGGTTATCCTCTTCCACGAGCCCCACCTTAAGGAGGAGCACCAGCGTGCTGCGGCTGTTCGCGCTGCTTGCCGCGCGGGCTGGGCCGCTGATCTCATCTCTGCGGTGGCCGCGGCGAAGGGCGGCACCGGCTGGCGTGGGCATCCCGGCCCGTCCTTGGGTGCGCCTCCAGCGGGTCGAGTTCGCTAACGACCGCGTCGCGATCCGCTGCTCCGCTCGCCTCGGCTTCTGGATGGCGTCCGCGGGTGGCCGCGAGGGCGCGCTGATGGCGTCCGCGCGCCTCCGCGCCAGTCAGGGCCTCAGCGACCTCAACCTGTTGCTGACCAACTTGCGCCCGGTGGCGCGGGCCATGCGACGGCCCTTCGTCGCGGGGGCTGACTGGGACATGGCGCCCGCCGTGCTGGGGGAGGCGCAGCTGCAGCCGTCCATTGGGGCGAGACTGGCATGCTCCAGCCACGCCACCTGCGTCGCGGCCTCTTCTGCGCGGGAGATCGACTTTTTCTGCGTCGGCCGCCTCGCGGAGGTCCAGGCCGTGCGACGGTGCTACCGCTTCGCGGTCCGCGCCCGCAGGGCGGCGGTGCTCCGCTTGGTGCACCGCCGCTACAAGGCCTGGCTGGATTGGTCTCGCGAGGCCACCGTCGGAGACGGCATTCGGAAGAACTTCCGCTGGATCCGCGAGGCGGCGGCATGGGCGGCCGACCGTTGGCGGACTTCTGCGGGTCTCCAGTCAGCGCAGCTGGTGGCAGAGGTGGCGGCGCGCCCGTGGCACGCGCTGTGGGGCGAAGGTGGAGGGCGTGCTGCGGTCACCTGGCCCTTGGGTCGGGGCGATCTCCTTCGACTGCCGAGCGTCGAGGGGCTGCGCCAGGTCGGGCACTCCTTTCCTCGCCTCGCCGGCTTGGGCGGGGACGCTGTGCGCCCGCGACGCGTGGCCGTGTTGTGCGACGAGGCGCTCGAGGCCTGCGTCGAGCTCTGGCGTCGCATGTAGGAGCTGGGGCATGTGCCGAAGGCCCTGGCGGCGATGCAGATGGTCCTCCTGCCCAAGCCCGAGGGCGGGGTTCGCGCCGTCGGGCTGGCACCAGGAGCCCCACGGCCCTTCACTCGGTGGGCGAGGAACACCACTGGCTCCAGCTGGGCCTCGCTCCACCGTCGGGACTACATCTACGGCGCGGCAGGTCTGAGCTGCGAGACGTGCGCGTGGATCCAGGCCGCCACGGCGGAGGTGGCGACCCACCGCGGCCAGGCAGCCTGCGCCGTGCTCATGGGCAGGAAGGCCTACGAGCACATCCCGTGGGCGTTGCTGGCCAAGCGGGCTGAGGCGTTCGGCTTCAACCTACACCTGCTGCGCTTCCTGCTCCAGATGTACGCGATGCCGCGCATCGTCTGCTACAAAGGGGTGGCCGCCGAGGCTGCTGCGCCCCGGCGCGGCGTCGTGGCAGGGTGCAGCTTCGCGGGCCTGTGTATGCGCATGTTCCCGCTGCCGAGGCTGGGCGCGATCGTGGCGCTGGGCGCGGTGCAGGTCGGCAACGTCGTCGACGACGTCCAGCTGGCCCAGACGGGCGTGGCAAGTCGCGTCGCCGCGCAGGTCAGCGGCGCCTACGAGCAGCTCCGCAGCGGGCTCCTGGCGGACGGCCTCGCCGTGAACGACGGCGAGGGCGCGGCCCTGGCCAACTCGGCCGAGCGCAGCCGCGAGGTCCCGAGGCGCTGCGCGGCGCTCCGAGGCATGGGCCGCAGGTCTGCGAGGAATCTGGGCGCGGGCTGCGGCTGCGGACGGTGGCCTGGCTCGGCCGCGCGGAGCAAGCGCGTGGCCACCGTGATCAGGCGCTCGGCTCGCATCCGAGTGCAGCGCGCCGCTAGAGGCAAAACGCAGCAACTCGTCTCTCTCGGTCTCGCGCCCGCTGGTACCTGGGGAGACGGGGTGGCTGGGAGGGCGTGCGGTTGGGCCGAGCCGATGCGCCGAGCTGCGCATGCCGCCTTCTTCGTTCGGACCGCTCGTCGCTCCGTCATCTTCGACCTCCACCTCATTCCCTCGGCGCCGAGGTCGGTCCACCCTGCGCGCGCTTGCGCTTTGAGTCCGATCCACTTGCTCGCCCAGGCCGTCTGGGAGTCATGGCTGCCTCGGGAATGGATTGCCCGAGTTTTGTTTACCTCCGAGACCACCTTGGCACTGCCCACCGGTGTAAAAAGTGAGCGGGCCCTTGTGCGCGGCCCGATTTCGGCGGCCCTGGCTAGCTGTAGACGCATCGGCTGGACGCTGGGCCCTGGGGTCTGCACGTTAGAGACCAGCGAGGGCTTCGAGGTTGATCTCGCGGCGGCTTGCCCGAGATCTGTCTTGCACCTCGCGCGCTTGAGCGCCGAGGATTGGCTGCTGGATCGAGCCCAGCAGAGTTCCGAGTACATGTCTGGTCTCCCCGCCCGCCCCTACATGGCCCCCCTCCGCCACCTCTGCATCGGTGGGGCGGGCCCCGACTGGGCGGCTCGGCACCGGGCGACTCTGCGTGCGATAGTCTCGAATGGTATTTGGGATCGGGCCCGCAGGTTTCGCCGCGGCCTCTCGTGCAGTCGCGCGTGCCCGTTGTGTAGCATCGAATCCTGCCCGGGGACCTTCGAGGCCTGGTCGACAGGCCAATGCCTAGCGACGTGGGCCTTAGTTCGCGAGCATGACCCCCCCCCTCCCCCTGCGGCAGGACCTCGGGGAACGCTCGATCTGGGCCCACTGGCGGCATGCCCCGGTCCCCGATCCTCGCCCCTCGGTTCCTGGCCCTGCGTCTTCCCTCCTCGTCCAGTGGCTCAAGCGGCCTTGCTCTGGTAGCGTCGAAGGCCAGGCCTTCGGCGACGGCTCCTGCACCGCGCCTGCACAGGGAGACCCCCGACTCAGCAGAGCGGGCTGGTCGGTAGTCCAGGTGGGCGGGCAAGGGTGCCTGGCTGCCTCCCTGCGCGGCCCGCCCCCAGGGCCACGCCGGGCGTCGGACCTCGCTGAGGCCTTCGCTTTCCTCGCGTATTTGACGCACGTGGCCTTGGGGCCCCGTTGCTTCCACTCGGACTGCGCCTGGGTTGTTTCCAGTTTCGAGCGCGGGCGCGCCGAGGCCGCTGGGGCCCAGCGCGAGGCAGCCGACCTCTGGACTCGCATCTGGGATCGCGTCGACGACTTTTGGGGCGACGTCACAATTGCGAGGGTCAAGGGCCACGCTCGACGCTGCCGCGACGGTGCTGCCGAGCGTGGCCCGACCGAGCGCGGCGGGAATCACTGCGCTGACCTCGGCGTTCGGCGCGGGGCGCCCCTCGGCCCCGCGGACAGTGTCGCGGTGGAGCGGGTCAGACGCACCTTCCACCTGGTGGCTCTCGTCGCCGAGTTTCTGGCTCGGGTGCTGCGCCCAGCGGGCCCCAGCCAGCAGGATGCGCCGCGGCACGGCCACCTGCGACGCGCACGGCGCAGGGGGGCAGCCCCCGCGCTGACGGCAGACGTGGTGCTGCCCGCTGGCACGCACGAGCTTGTGCCGTGCGGCAGGGGCTTCCGCTGCTGCCACTGTTCCCGCGTCGCCAGGACGCGAGATGGCTACGCGCCTGCGGCATGTAGCCCCGGCGGTGGCCACCGCGCGTGGCGCGTGGGCCCTTTCCTTTTCTGCGCGAGGTGCGGAGCCAATTCGGGCGAGAACGCTCAGCTCCTCGCGCGGCCTTGCCTCGGGGTGGTGCCCCCGCAGACGCGGCCCCGCCTGGGTCGCCTGCGGGAGGGCAAACACCCGCGCATTGGTCTACCCCTGCCCTTGGCCAACGGCCAGGTTAGGCCTCGGCCGTTCGCGGATTTCATCCTCCACAGCCTGGTCGGAGACCTGGTTGTCGTGGATGAGGTTGCGGACGGTTTGTAGGCACTTGGCTGCGCCTGCTGGCGCTCCCCATTGGGGAGGTGCTCGGGCCCTTTCTTCTCGGTCGGGCTCACGCCCGAGCCGCCTAGCGGTGCTTGCACGCTTGGCGCCGCGCCGGATGGAAAATGAAACTCCCCCTCCTCCCCCTCCTCCCCATCCCTCTCCCCTTCCCCCTCCTCCCCGTCCTCCTTCCTCTCGCCGTCGTCGTCCTCCTCGCTTTTGTGGGAGGGCCGCCATCCGACAACGGGGAGGCCCATATAAGTTTTCACCTGCACGGCGAATCAGTCGGGCCCTGTGCCTTCCAGCAGGGCCCAAACCTGAGGAGCACAGTCCTCCTCCTCCTCCTCCTCCTCCTCCTCCTCCTCCTCCTCCTTCTCGTCATCCTCCGAAGTGATCATCTCTCGTTCTTGTGTGCCGGCCGTTGAAGGGATTGCGTGCCTCGATGGGTCCCGGTCAGCCAGTACGTGTCTGTGCCATGAGCGGCTGCCGCTGCACATTTAGGTCTCTGGGCAGTCATATACCTTCTCAGAGTATAGAGTTGTCTCAGGCTGGCATCCTGTCATGAGGCCACAGCTGTTGCAGTGTAGCAGAGGTCGCAGGGACTTTGGGAGTTTGTTTTGTCTTGTCTCCTCCGCGAAGTCGGATGCATCCCCCGCTTGGCGGCGCGAGCGAAGGGATGGCGCGAGAGGGGCGGCCTTCTGCTTCGGCGGGTGGCCTCCTAGAGGGCAGGGCGGTTTGTAGGCGGGCAAGGAGAGGAGGAGGAGGAGGAGGAGGAGGAGGAGGAGGAGGAGGAGGAGGAGGAGGAGGAGGAGGAGGAGGAGGAGGAGGAGGAGGAGGAGGAGGAGGAGGAGGAGGAGGAGGGGGAGGAGGAGGAGGAGGAGGAGGAGGAGGAGGAGGAGGAGGAGGAGGAGGAGGAGGAGGAGGAGGGCTTCTGGGAAGCCGCTTGCCTCTCTGCGCCCGCCTCTCGCGCGACTCCCTTTGTGCGTGGCGCCAACAATGCGGCGTCGGAGACTGCATCGACACGAGCGAGCAACGTGGCGCTCCCGGCGGGGCTCCTCTCGGAGGTTTCGGCGAGCTCTGGCGCCGCCTCGGAGGTCATGCTGGCCACCACCGCTGGCGAAGCGACGCCTGGCAGGCCTCCCCCTCCCCGTCCCGCTGCGCGCGGAGCCGTCGGAGTCGGCGGCCGCTCCACGGATGGATGCATGAACCGCGGATGTGGCGGGGCTTGCGGGCGAGATTGGCGGCGACCGCTCGGAGAAACAGTGGACGAGCAAGGACAGTAGCCTTAAGTCGGGCCTGTCCCTCCACAGGAGGAATTTTCAATCTAAAAATAGTCGGGGGATTTTTTTTGAGCACTTGTTGACCATTTGGAATATTCTGAGGGTATTCCTGATTTTTCGTCGAAGATCCCCCTGTATGGGGGACACGCCCGATTTAACAGTAGCCTCCTGTCCCTTTTCATGTCCGCTCTCAAGCTGCTCCTGCAAACGGCGCGCGAGACGCGCCTCAGCAGTTCGATCATCATCAACGCGTGCACCACGGCAACGCAGCGCCCTCTGATCGACGCCGTTTCGGCGGAGTTAGAGGGCTACACGACGACCTTGGACAATCTGCGAAACGGGGGAGTCGAGGACAAGACGCGGCTGAATGATATTGGATCTCCCGCGGCCAGCCTGGGTCTCGCGGCCTTGGAGGGCCTCCGCCAGGGCGACATTGGCGGCGTGATGGAGGCGCAGCCAGGGGACGATTTAATGAAACCAGAGATATCACATGCCTACCTCCATCTCGTACTCAGCTTCACTCGATTCGAAAGTTGCTGCGGTACGGGCAAGGTGAAACTCATCGTGGGAGCCCTCTCGATCATCCAGGCCGCAGGGCGGGAATCGACGCATCGCCGTGGGGTCGCCCCAGCGGACTGGCTCGAGGACGAGGTTGATGCACTGCTTGGAGACGCTTGATTGAGCTTTGTACGAGGCGACGCAGTCCCAGGCATGATAGCTGCAGCCCCATTCTCAGCTCGGTCCTCGTCGGCCTCTTCTCTCCCCTGCCGTAGACCGGCCAGCGCCAGCCACATGTCATAACTACAGTCGTGTCATGGGTCCTCGGTAAACCACGATTCATATGCCGAACATGCGAGGCACTTCCCTTGCCTCTGTCAGACAAAGCACCCACTCATGCTGTCGCCCTTTAAACGTCGCTCCTGCAGGATCACGCGGGAGATCAAGGATCTTTGCGCCAGGTTTCAGCTTTCTACTTGCAGCTGGTCTATGATACGTTCTTTATTTGCCGTGACGTCGAGCAGTATCGCCCTCCTGTTTGTTCCTCTTCCCCATCCTCCCCTGTTCGTCGTCGTCCTCCCCCTCCTCCTTCCTCACCCCTCTCGCCCTCGCCCGAGCTCGTCGTTCTCATCCTCATCATTCCCATTATCCTCCTCCTCCTCCTTTTCTTCATCACCATCCTCGTCCTCGTCCTTCCTTTTGTTCTCCTCGTTGCCCTCCTCGTCCTCCTCCGTGTGCGCCCGCGGAGCGCCAGGATTGGGTTCGGCGCAGGTGCCCACAGCTCTTCCATGGAGGACCAGATCGCCTCCAGAGCACCCTTCGCGGTGCCCACAAGGCTCGAGGGGCCCCACAAAAGGCGCAAAGAGGTTGGGCGCTTCGGGCCATCTTCGCTTTTGGCCACCTCCGACCTGGCTGCGCTCTTTGGGTTCGGGCTGGCCTCGCCGAGGCACTCTTTCTTGGAAGCACCATGGGCCGAAGGCATGTGAATCAGGAGGCATCGGAACACCCAAATAAATTTTGAAGGTGCCGCAATGATTTTGGCCGTCCTTTAATTCGTCAGGGGCTATTTGGGCGGTCTCGTGGGTCCCATTATGAGACCGTTGGTGGGAGCTCTGGAGCCATCCTGGCGTCATCTGGAGCTCTCTTGGGCCTTCTTGGGGCGTACTGGGGCCGCGTTGAGCGTTTCTTGGGCCATCTTGGCGGCACATGTGGCAGTTCGACGGGTGTTGTGAAGAAGGGCGGCGGAACGGCGACAGCTGCCGGGAAGCTCGGGGATAGGTTTGGGGAACCAAACCCGGATATGACCTGCACCTTGCCGCGCCCAGCACCGCTGGAGACACTGGGAGCGCCGGATCTAGTGGCCGTCGGTCCATCCCGCCTCCGTGCATGGAGAGCCTTGTGGGAGTCTCGGGAGCAAGTAACACGTCACTCAGCCCTGCCGGGGGCCTGTTGGGGGCTTCGGGGGAGCTTCTTGGGGGCTGCTGTGTGTTTTTGGTTCCATCTTCGGGCGGAGGGCTGCTGGGATCCATTAGCGTCGCGTGTTTTGTTTTCTTATTTTTTTGGGGGGCTTTCTGCGGGCTTCGTGGACGGCACTGGGGTGAGCCTGAATGCCTCTTGGGCTGTCTTGTAAGCTCTCTGAGACTGAGCAGGCGGGAACACGATATGTATAAGCCAGCTTCATAGGTTTCTGGCCACATGTGGTCTTTCGAGCTGGATGTTGCAGGCCTGGGTTCCCTTCCGTGTCTTTGGGTCGCGGAATCTGTTTACGAATATATTATATATATACATACTATATACATATATATATACACATAATATATATATATATATATATATATATATATCTATTCATGTATCTATAAATATTGGTCATGGTCCCATGTCACCGCGCCTGGGCTTATGTCACAGGCACCTTGGATGCCTGTTGGCATCTCTTGGGAAGCCTCTCGTTTTGAATGAGGTTTAAGGAGAGGCTGTACAGCGAACGCTATATCCGACGCTGTCTTGGCTCAAGGCAGCGCTGTCCTATATGCTCGTGCACAGACCTGTGTACCTCTATTCGCGGGTCATAGCAACGGACAAAGGCCACGTCCTTCTATGATCAATCTCGCGGGTGTAGGGAATTCAGGTCGGATGGTGTTTTTGTACAAGTCAAGAAAAACGGATTGAAGCATTGATGTTCCTGATTTCAGCATCCCAGCTGCTATCTCAGTAGAGTATGCGGCTCTGTTGGGCCGTAGTTGCCGGAGTGCTGTTTCGAGCTCAGTACTCGTGAATGGTGGGATCTCGTTTGGTCGTACGTCGTGTTCTTGCTCGCGGTCGCTGGGCTGTCTGCGCGGAGGGTGTCGTTGTATAGATCTTCGTAGAATTTCGCAAAAATGTCAACAATGGATTGTCGGTCGTGTTGCGTGGTGCCGTGCTTGTTTGTCATACTAGTGATGAATGTGCGTTTTTTGCATGCCCTTTGCCCCACTGATCCGCTTGAGGTCCTCACACTCCGACAGGATGCGTGCAATTGTTGCCGCGCGGGCCGCTCTCTGGATCGCCCGGATCTCTTTGCGTATGCCTTTGTTGAGCTGGCTGCGTGCTACTGTCTCGTGGTGCTGTGTGCCTCTCCGTCTTTGCAGCAGCTGGTTGAGGGCGTCGCTGGTTGAGCGGTTGCTTCGTTGACGGTCGGCCGTTGGAGGTTGGAGTTGTAGCAAGACCTCTTCGATTGATTATTCGATTTGTTCACATTGCAGTTGCATCTTCGTGTCTAGCAGTAGGTTGTCGAGTTTGTCGGAGAGTGTGCTTTGGTACTGCATTGTGTCCGTGGGTGGCCATGCTGGTCATGGTTGTCGTCGGCGCTGTTGTCGCGATGCTTTCGTCGCCGCGTGGTTGGTCGTATTGAAGGCACAAGATAATGTCAAAGCCCGGTGGTCTGAACCCATACCTACATCAGAATTGGACTCGCAATCTTCCACTGTTTTCCGAAACCATTTGTTCACGATGAAATGATTGATCTGTTTATGTTCCTTCTGCGGTGACGTGTACGTAACCAATTTGTTGTGTTGTTTGTAGAAGAGCGTGTTGGCGAGACGCCGTCGTTGATTGTCAGTCCACTGTTTGAGCCACTGCCCTCTAGCATTCATGGGGCCCACCCCATGCTGTCCGAGTACGTGTCGTGAATATTCTGGCGTTCTGTGTCCAGCGCGGGCGCTACCATCCGCACCGATTATTACAATCCCACGCTGAGTGTGCTTCTAGGCATAATTGGGATAATACGTAATACATCGTTTGGACGTGCTTGTCGCAGTCTAAGATACCCTCGCTTGACATCGACATAAGCGATCCTCTCGTTGACGGGCGTGAAAGAAGCAATATGATTCACTCATTCCTTATGTATGATGATGCCCACTCCACGCTGGTGGTCGGTGCACCCTGATGCCATGAAAGCGCGCCCACAATGTGTCTCCCAAAACTCGTACCCCTTGTCCTCCATGTTTCGTTAAATGTCATCGCATCTCATTCCACTCCATTGAGCTCTTGGCAAAGGGCTGTGGCCCTGTCGTCGAAAGATAATCCGTGAACGCTTTTGTGATATATTACGAAAGTGTGCTTGTCAGTGACCGCATCCGCAGTTTGCTTCCCAGACATGGGGTGCCCAGGTGCCACTGCTGGATCGCCATGTCCTTGGAACTGAAAACCTTCCCCGTGCGGCTGATTATCTTGATCAATGGGTGGAGGTCGAAAGCTGGAGGTGGGAGAATGGGTGTCGACAGCTGGTGGTGGGTGCTGGGAGCTGGATGCCGGAGTCTGTAGGTCGCTCAAGTGGGATTGGAGGTCGATAGGTGGAGGTCGAAAGCTGGAGGTGGAAGGTTGGGTTTTGATAGCTGGTGGTGGGTGCTGGGAGCTCGATGCCAGAAGCTGGAGGTCGGTCAGGGGAGGTTGGAGGTTGATAGGTGGAGGTCGAATGTTGGGGGTGGAAGATTTGGCGTCGATAGCTGGTGGTGGGTGTTGGGAGCAGGATGCCGGAATGGGGAAGTCGGCCAGGTGAGCCAAGAGATCGATAGGCGGATGTCGAAAATTGGAGGTGGAATATTGGGTGTCGATAGCTGGTGGTGGCCGCTGGGAAGTGGATGTCGGAATCTGGAGGTCGGTCAGGTGAGGTTGGCGGTCGATAGGTGGAGGTCGGAAGCTGGAGGTGGAAGATTGGGCGTCGATAGCTGGTGGTGGGCGCTGGGAGCTGGATGCCGGAATCCGGAGGTCGGTCAAGTGGGATTGGAGGTCGATAGGTGGAGGTCGGAAGCTGGAGGTGGAAGGTTGGGTTTTGATAGCTGGTGGTGGGTGCTGGGAGCTGGATGCCGGAAGCTGGAGGTCGGCCAAGTGACGTTGGGAGTCGATTGGCGCAGGTCGAAAGTTCGGAGTGTAAAAGATTTTCTGCCAACAGCTGGTGGTTGGGTGCTGGGAGCTGGATGCTGGAAGCTGGAGGTTGGTAAGGTGAGGTTGGAGGTCGATCGGTGGAGGTCGAGAGCTGGACATGAAAGACAGGATGTCGACAGCGGAAACTAATAGTTGACGGTATTCTGCGTGAACCTGTTCATCGCGATCTTCGCGCCCAAGGTCATCATGCCAGACCTGAACGTCGCCTTGATGTGGTAAAACGTAGCTCGGTGCAGGGAGCCCTTCTGATGGACTCGGAGGTGGTTTGGAG